ATTTCTGGTAAACAACCACTAGTCTTCCAAACTATCGAATAAACTTAATTACTGTTATTCAATTTCTCTGGTAACTTGCAGGATCGACTAGATTGATCCTATGGGACATAGTTGTTTGGATAAATCTAATTGTAAAACTGGTATTCATATTTAGGACTTCTAATTAAAGTGTTTCAAAGACATCCAATCCACTTCGATTACTACACTAAATGATTCGAAGGATAATTTCTATATGATATAAGGAATGTTCATTAGAAAAGTAAAAAGACTTAAGATTGGGTAAATGGCAGGATTAAGTGAGTGAATGTAAAAGTTGATGAATGTTTAAAGGATTCGAACATAAGAAAAGCGTTTAAATGCAGAAAGAAATAAATGACTCTGAACGTAAAAGCTTTAATGTAAAGGCATGAACGTAAAAATGTTTGAAGCACAAATGAAATGGAAATGAAAGACAAAACTGGAAAATATAAAGAGTTTTCATTGAATTGTAAATGTTGGTGTTATCATACGTACATCTTTCGAGCATTTGTTTCCCTATCCATGCGGTATTTTGAATGTTTACTGAATTTGTACAACAGATATGACACCCCGAAATCCTAACACTAAGACCTCTATTTATACTATTTCGACCATAACGGTCTTGCTATCAGAATATGCCACGTTTGAAGCATGCAGAGCATTACTTCCCTCTAGCCTCCACGCGTCCTCGAATGCTCCAACGCTTATGTATTTGAATTTCCAATATCCCGCTCACGTTTGAATTTCAAACGCCTTGGAACCTTCGTTTCGAATTCGTTTCGAATTTGTTTCAAAGGTTATTTTCGAAAACAACCTTCACAAATATAATCTCATCATTATTTCGAAAATTCTTTAGACTTACACTCCACAACTATCATTCGAAACCTTGAACTTTAATATTTCCATTCGAAAAACAGTCTCTTCCATTCCAAACCATAAAACTTGTTTTATTCAAACAAAGCCCAATCATTTCATTTCGAATCACAATATCAAAATCTTCAGCCAACAGTTACGCTCTCATCAACCCAGACCAAAGTATTGAGGTTATGTTTGTTAATCAAACTAAAAAAATGAGTTCTGAAAATCGTGTTCGTGTAAACATATCTCTTATAGCTACTAAGTTTCTTTTAAGGTGTGACATGCCATTTAGAGGGAGTGATTAGTCCTTTAACTCTTTATTTAAGGTGCCATTTATTGAGTTGGTGGACACTCTAAAAGAAATAAATCCAAAGATAGCTAGTGTAATAGATTGTGCTCCAGGAAATAACTTAATGACTACCCCTAAGATTCAAAAGGATCTTGATGTTGCTTGTGCATGTGAAATAACTCAACAAATTTTATGTGACATTGCAGGTGATGGGTTTTGTGTTTTGATTGATGAATTTGGTGACGTTGCTGGTAAAGAACAAATGGTTGTTGTTATTCGCTATGTTAATAGTGAAGGTTTGGTAAAAGAAAAGTTGATTGGTATTGTAAGTGTTAAAGAAACAAGTGCTAAGTTATTTAAGGAGGCATTTGAGAAGTTATTGTCTATTAATGGCTTAAGTTTATCTAGCATAAGGGGGCAAGGATATGATGGAGCTGGCAATATACGAGGTAAGTTTGGTGGTTTGAGAATTTTAATTCAAAATGAAAATCCATCTGCTTATTATGTGCATTGTTTTTCCCATCAATTTCAATTGGCACTTGTTGCATGTGCTAAGACTCACAAAGATGCTAGTAGTTTTTTTCGATAATATCAATATGCTTGTTAACTTCATACGATCTTCTAACAAGAGACAAGAATTGTTTTGGGACAAACAAGTATCTAAATTTTCTAAATTGATTGAAGAAGGCCAGATAGAGATTAGTAGTGGATTAAATCAAGAATCATCTATTGCTAGAGCATGTGACACTCATTGGGATTCCCACTTTAGGACTCTCACTAGTTTGATGAATTTATATGGTTCCATTATTGAGGTACTTGAAAAAGTCAAGAATGATACGTCATTTGAAAAATATGGTGAAACTATACTTTTGCTAGATGTGGTTCAGTCCTTTGATTTTATCTTCATGTTATACATGATGGTTGAGATTTTAGAATTTATAAATGATTTGAGTGTGGCGCTACAAAAGCGTGATCAATATCTTTTTAATGCTTTATCACTTGTCAAAGCAACCAAACAAATTACAAGAAATGAGGAATGATGGATGAGAAAAGCTTATATCTAAGGTTATAGAAATTTGCAATGAGCATGATATTGATGTGCCTGATATGGATGCACCATATGTGCAAAGGAAGAAACCTAGACGACATGCTACAATTTCTAGTGTTTCTAATTTGCATCATTATAAGCATGATTGTTCGTTTAGTGTTTTAGATTTGCAGTTGCATGAACTCAATGCTAGGTTTGATGAAGAGAATACTGAATTTTTACAATGTATTTCATGTTTGAGTCTCTCATCTTCATTTGCATCTTTTGATGTGAAAAACTATTGAGGATGGTTGAACTTTATCCAAATAATTTTGTAGATGTGTCAGAAGTGGTGGTACGACATCAGCTTCAAAATCATGTTAGAAACGTTCGATGTGACCCAAAATTTACAAATTTAAAAGGACGTTTAGATCTCTGTGTAAAACTTGTGGAAACAAATAAGTGCAACACATTTGATATGGTTTATAAGCTTCTGAAACTGACTTTAGTCTTGCCGATAACAACTGCAAGCATTGAATGTGTTTTTTTAACTATGAAGTTTGTGAAGAGTCAGCTATGTAACAAAATGAGTGATCAATGGTTAAATGATCGTCTTGTGACTTTTATAGAAAGAGATGTTCTTGGAACAATTAACAATGATGTTATTTTAGCTCATTTTCAAGAAATAGATAATAGATAATTTTCATTGTAAAGGCACTTCATTAAACAATATTATTTTTTATTTTCAATATAATTTAGTTTATAGTTTCTTTCATATTTAGCAACACCGATATGTAATGTCTAGATCCGCTCATGCCTATTTAATACAAGAAAAATATTATTTTTACACCAAACTCCTACACCTATACCGTATTTCATTATTCATCAATACAATAAACAATAAAATATTATGATAATAATATTTTTTATAAAAAATATATTTTTTTTTATTTTTTATTAATTCTTTTAGATTGAATGAATATGGAAGGAAAAAAAATTATGTGATTCCCTAACTTCATAAATTCATTAACTAATATTTTATGTTTCATTAATCAACTTTATATCTACTAAAAATCTGAGTAGTTTATTAATCAACATTATTAACTAACTTTTATATTTTATTAATCAATTTTATTTTACTATTAAAAATTATTTTTAATATATGAGTATATATTAACCAATTTCATCAATAATTTTTTTACATTTTACTAACCAAATTTGTTTTACCATTAAAAATCACTGTTCATATACTATTTACGAACACTGTTCACGCATTGTTCAAAGTATTGTTCATATACTATTCATAAACATTGTTCACGCACTGTTCAAAGTACTGTTCATAAATAATGTTATTTTATTTGAAAAAACACGTTTATCGTATAAATATGATGAACAGTGTATCCAATATAAGTATTGGTGTAGGATTTTGGTGTCAACATAGCAAAACTGTTGATACAATTCAGTCTATGTAATTGTTCATTTTACAATTAAATAACTCATTTTAAATTTATATGTGTATCAAAATATATTTTATATTGTATACACGAATATATTATAAGAGACTTAAAATACATTTTATATCGTATCATACACGGATATATTATAAGAGACTTAAGCATGTTTCTAAATCAATCAAGCTTTCAAACTTACTCCCTAGTAAATTTTAATTAAAATTGCAGCCCTCCAATTGTACTTTGTAAGACGACTAATTTTATATATATTGTATATAATATTTTATACCCTATCAAATTAAATAATATTCAATAGAAATATAAATAACTAATTTTTCATCTCATACTGTAACACTATTTATTTAATACAATTGAATTTATATGATCATTATTTATTTAATACAATTGAATTTATATGATCATTATTCATTTTATAATTAAATAACTCATTTTCATTTTAAATTTACATGTGAATCAAAATATATTTTATATCATATCACACACATATATCTTGCTAGTATAGTACTCCTGGTCCTATTTATAAATAAAAATTACTTTTTAACTTCTTTGTATAACTAATATATCTGGTTTATATATTATTTAGATACATTAATTATTCAATGTATCTAAAAAAATAAATTTCTTTATTATAAATAAGATAGAAGGTAATATAAGAGCGTGTTTCTAAATCAATCACATGCTTTCAAACTTATCCCCTAGTAGAATTTAATTAAAATTGTAGCGCTCCAATTGTACTTTGTAAGAATTTTGAGAATACTTTACGAAAAAATGAATAGTTTTAGTTCTCACAATAATATTCAAATAAAGACTAATACAACAAATAAGCCTTCTCCCACTAAATATGGATCGGTTACATGGATACCTAATGTTCTCTCAAAAAATAAAATATATATTTAACATTAAATTACTCATGAGAACATCCGCCTAATTGACTTCGTAAACATTTTGCTGCTTATAATCGGGCAAGAATATCAATATAATATTCAAATTAGATTAAGTTGACTATTTTCTAAAATGACTCAATGTTTCACATTACTTTTAACACTATTGACATCTCCATCTTTTCAGTCAAAACCCCACAAGTTACTTTGTCAGTTTAGCTATCTCCTGGGTTAATTATACCTTTGATTTAAGGCTTATTTTAAGTGGACAGCAACCTTTTCATTGGAAAAATAGAACAATATGAGCTATTATATATATTGAAAGTTTTCACCTGCAGGCCATCTAAACTTGCCTACTACATACAATATGAGCTTACTTTTAATTGAATTATTCACTTGAAAGAATCGTCATCAGCGAGCGCATGGTCATTAGAAGCCCAATTACCATGCACTCTTCACCTTTCTTCCATGTTGAATCTGTTCCAAGCTTCCTGAAGAAAATTAAATTAAATAATGAGGAAATTTGAAATCTTTCGTCAGAAATCTGAGATTTGAAATATTGCCCTGTATTTTTCAAACTGTCACTTCCAAACACAAGATGTCATGTAAGCAACACCAATCCCAATCCCACATACATATAGGCGAATTTTGGTTTACTAGGTTGAAATCAACAAATCAAAATAGTATAACTCGTCATGGAGAAGATAGATGTTTTTCATTTTTGGAGAAAGAATGGTGAGTAAATATCAAGAACTAATTTTCATGCTGTTTACTGATGAGATAATTGAAGAAAGCCAAACCTTTAGAAGATCGAAAACCTTCTCACAAGTGTACTTTTGCTGAACGCTAGCCCCTCGCTGCTGCAGCTTGTCTGGATGCACACACAGAGTGGCTTTACGATAAGCTTTCTTTACAGCAGGGGTGGTTACTATTTCTGTTAAAGGAATTGATTGCCAGCCGCTATCAGGCCCAAGGATCTGCAAAATTTGAGTGTTATCGAGAAAATTTCTCAAGCAAAAATGGATCTGCGGAAAAATGCTATTGACAAAACTAAAAAAGACAAGGTAAACAGTAAGGAAGTGTGTTTTAAAATTTAAAGCAACCTAAAATTTAGTGTATTTAATGGAAAGTGACTTCTTCCCAATACCTTCAAAGACATGATATTGATTCTTATCAATTCACTCATGTGTCTTTTCTTAATATTTCAATCAAAACGGGTATTCAAATCCTTTAAAGGTAAAAATACTCATTTAATATAACAGAAAACATTTTAAATTTCTTGTTTTACCCAAGGAAAGTTTCATTAACAGAACGGAAATAATCCATGACCGGTCCATATGCAATATATCAAGAAATAACAATCTAAATTGAAGTATTCACAAGAGGTTATATTCTTAAGAATAAAACGAGGAATATATTTAGAAAGTTTACTCATACATATTGTAATGTTGAAAGCAATGCCCTCAAGTTTCCTGTTTTCCCACTTGACCACCTTTTAACATCGGCATCCAGAGCTTCAGCTACCCTCTGCAGGAACGAACATTGCGTAAGACAAAATGAAAAACACGTGAAATGCAAGATATGGTAGAAATTTACATTTCTTTCGTCTTGTTCTTTCTGCACAAGCCGATCCCGCATACTCTTTTCTGCAAGAGCCTTTGCCTGCATAGTGTAGAGCAATTATTGCAGGATCCAATTGACATAAAAACCAATATGAACAAAAAACAAGGGCAAAACAAGGAACCATACCACACGATCTCCTATTCTCTGATGCCTCTCGGACCTAGCTTTACATCTCTGAGCAGAGTCAGCGTTAGCTCCATCCAAGACCTCGGAAGAATCACGAACTACAGAGGATGCAATTTGTACAAAAATCAATAAATATTCAATGAAGTAGGAAAAAGATAGTAATGGTATTATGAAAAGAGGAACTATTTAACTTCACATACCACCATAGCTGAAAGACTTTGAATGGAAGTTTTGCTTCATTCCATTACCTCTGGAAGTACCAACAAACTTCTCGGGAACAGACTTGTCGGATTTATTTCTTGCATCAGAAGCAGCCTTCTCAGACAGTGCCCTCTCCAGGGCGCGTGCTCTTGCCTCTGCAGTCGCTCTCTCCACCGCGGCACGTTCAGCTTTAAGTTTTGCTTCCATAGCAGCCTTCTCAGCCGGTGTTTTTTCATTTGCTTGACTAGTGGTTTTTAGCCTTTCTCGTCCATTCATAATGTTCTTTTGACGTGCTTCAGTTGCAACTCTCTCCAGAGCTGCCCTTTCTTTTGCATCAGCAAATGCCCTTTCACGAGCTTCACGGATTGCTCTTTCTACAGCTAATTTCTCCTTTTCTCTTTCTTTATGTTTTGCTTCATCAATTTTCTTAAGGAGTTCCTTATCCACCTCTACCTTCTGTGCCTTACCATTGGCTTCTTTCGCTTCCATTGTCATGGATGTTTGATGACTCTCCTTTATTTTGCTGTTAATTGATTTAACTTCCTTTTCTTTGAAGGGGCTTGATTTCCATTCAGACATACTAGGTATCTGAGATGCTTCACTAGAAGAGTGGGATCTATTCTCATCAATCTCTTCATCTGACACAACTCTAACCTCCTTCAAATCCTTATATATTTCTCTAGACTCGGGAGTTGTTTCTTTAACAAGCATAGCCAAATCGCAATCAGATTCTGCCTTTTCCAAACACTGATCTTGATTTTTACTAACCATCATGTCAATTTCACCAACATTTGTAGAATTATCTTCAAAGGTAACTGCTTCAAATGTACTATTCATTTGATGCACTGTTTCACTGAGTACAGGGGCAACTTGATCAAAGGAAGAAGTCTGGCTTGCACATTTCTCGCTGAAATCATTAGTCTCTTGAACAGAATCTTGCTCTTCATATTTCGCTTGCTGTTGCATTGAAGCATTACTCGCTACTATCATATCATCCTGCAGGTCACATGAATAAAACTCTGGAGTTACTGCAAGAGTTTCATCATTTTCATTGACTGTATTAGAAACCTGAGTTTTGCTCAACTTCTCAGCTTCCTCTGGCTCATAACTAGAACTGGGTCCTGTGGTGTAGCCAGATTCTGCTGCTCTTATCTCTTCATAAATTGGATCAGTTTGAGTCTCTATAATTACTTCTAGCACCTTCTTGTCATTCCTTTCACGCTCATTTTCCTCCATCAGATGTGCGGCTTCCTCGAGTTCATTTTCACTAGCATGGGCATCTTGAAACCTCATGTTGCCAACTAAATCACTAGCCTTAGTATTTCTTTCGTAAATTTCTTCATCGTCATGAATATGGTCAACAATATCCTCCGGTACTTCCTGTACATAGATATCGCTAAACTTACTATCAGTGGCTTCTCTCCAACAGGAAAGTTTGACCTCTTGATTTATATTCAGAAAACCAGATGTATTCCTATTTTTGTCCTCTAAACACCCCGAGTTATACATTTCTTGGTCAGTGCTTATTAATTCTGGATGATGAAGACTGCACGCTCTCTCATTGTCTATTGGCTCCAGAGACTCTGCCAATTCACATTTTTCCAGCTCACTGACAACTTCAACTTTATCGTCCTCACTTTCTTTTTGCTCTTGAGAAGTGTTTTCCTCAGCTTTTCCCAGTTCCAGAATAGCTCTCAAATTTTTTTGGCATTCTTCCTGCTCAATGGACCAATATTTTCTGGCTCTAACCTTTTTACCACCTTCTGGCTTATTGCCAATATTTTCTTTATTTCCTACCTTTGACGGTTGCCCACCTAGGTTAATTACATAGTCTTTTGGTTCATTAAACGGTGTAACCTTGCTCTCAACTTTTTCAACTTCTTTAACCTTCAATCTCTTGTCCATCATTCCATTGTCAAGTGTCTCCTGAATCAGGTTTGTTTTACCAGCAACTTCTTGACACCTATGTTTAGTTTCATGGACAGGTTCTTCATGAGAACTTGCTTTGTTAACTGCACACACCTTTTCTTCAACATTCTTCGGCCCCCAATATTCCTTAACCATTTCTATTGTATGATCAGATTCTTCTGGTTCAAAGACCTTCCTACCTGTGTTTTCAATATACGGGACTTCTTCAGCACCTCCTGCCTCTTTAAGCTCGAGATTTTTTCCTTTATGATCTGCTTCTTTCAGTTCAACCTTTTCTATTGTATGATCAGACTCTTTTGATTCAGAGACCTTCCTACCTGTGTTTTCAATATACGAGACTTTTTCAGCACCTCCTGCCTTTTCTATTGTATGATCAGATTCTTTTGATTCAGAGACCTTCCTACCTGTGTTTTCAATATACGAGACTTTTTCAGCACCTCCTGCCTTCTCTATTGTATGATCAGATTCTTTTGATTCAGAGGCCTTCCTACCTGTGTTTTCAATGTACGAGACTTTTTCAGCACCTCCTGCCTCTTTAAGCTCAAGATCTTTTCCTTTAAGATCTGCTTCTTTCAGTTCAACCTTTTCCCTACGTTCGGCTTGAGAAAATATCAATTTATTCTGTGCGTCTTGTACAGCTTCATTGGCAGCATGCATTTCTTTATCCCCAATATCTGATCTTACTTTCTCTGTTCTCGTCATTAGCTTTCCTACCTCGGAAGTAACTTGCAGCAAAGCATCCATTTCTCCATATGTTTGCCTTGTATTAATCTCTTTAACTTCCGTTGTTTTGTATGCAGGTTTAGCTTCCTTTTTTTCCCTGACTTTCAAGTCAATACTAGACTTCTGTTTGACGCGATCAGGAAAGCCTTCTTTCTTTCTTCTCATTGATTCTTTTGCTACCTTTATTTTCATTTGAGCCTCTTCTATTGCCTTCCTTAAAGCCGCTACAGAAGCTGCTGCTTCTGAATTGGAGTCAACCGTGTCTTCTGAGTGTGTTGGCGAATCGGCACCAGCAGGACTGTCATATCTGCCACTTTTAGATGCTTGACCATTGGTTGCCATTGATGTCGGAGCATCAATAATATTATTTTTATTATTATCCAAATTCTCTTTCATAGCCTCTGAAGAAGGAACTTTGACTTGATGAACTTCATCACTTCCATTGTTAATCTCACATGCATCATAAAACAGGTCAACAGAGTCAGAGTCGGATCTATTTATAGCTTTCCCTCCATTATCGGAGGACTGTTTCTTCGCATTATTATGTGCAGGATCGATAAACGATTTGGCACAACGCTCACCTTCTCTTATCCCCTCGTCACAATGGCTATCAGAATAAGCATCCTGTGCTACTGGCATAGAGTCGGATCTACTTTTAGCTTTCACTCCATTATCGGAAGACTGTTTCTTCACATTATTTGGTGAAGGATCGATAAATGATTTAGCACAATGCTCATCTTCTCTTATCCCCTCATCACAATGACTATCAGAATAAGCCTCCTGTGCCACTGGTATAGACTTTCTAGCTCTGCTCATCTTCGCTAAATCGACTTCCTCAATTAAACAAGTGTAAGCAGGGACAGCATGGAGTTGAGCTATATGTGTTGTCCCGTTTGTACCACTTTCATTTCCTTGGTTAACTTTATGATACGACATATTGATCCTTTTGGCCCCATGGGATGAAGGTGATACCACCGGAGTTTCCTTTGAAGTGCTAGTATGATCTTCCCGGAAAGATTGTTCTCCACTTTTGACTTTGCTCCTATATAAACATCTCAAAAACACCATTAAGGTTATCGTCTAAATTCTAAGCAGCTTACAAGCTACAAGCAGTCAGCCTGCTAATAATGCTACAAAATTAGTCGGCACAATAAATAAGTTTTTCAAAAATAGATCTTGAACTCTCCATCTTTCTCTGAGAACAGATGTATGTGTCGGCTTAACATTCACAGTCACACACCCCACACCCCTATTGGAGGGCTTTAGCTGAGTGCATGTTTAGATTTGCCGCAAGTGGCGATTTTGCAAAAGCTATCTCTCAGTAATTTCAAAAAACCCATTGTGATACCAAATATGGACTTAATTTTGTATAAAAAAGTGCAGAATTACAGCAGTAGATTCTCAGTGATTCAAATTTTATTTTAGAAACAAAAAGCTAAAGAATTAAAAAGCTTGCTATAAACTTTAACATCCACCTACTGGCACGAGGGCATAGCACAAATTAAATTAAACTAAAAAGGAAAAGAAAAAATGCAGTTAACTTCTGAAAGAAGAAAAATCCCATGACCGACAAAGCAGTCAAAAGCGAAAAACGCGTCAAAATCTAAGAACAATAATTCTCCAATCCAATCTCGATTTCAAGCAAAACACCGAAATGCAACTCCCAAGTTCAAATTAAAATGAACGAAAACCCTAACAAACTAAAAACGATTGCGTCAAAGATTAAACTCACCGTTTCAATGCTCCATTTGCTGAACCTCCTTTCTCTCTAGGCTTGGCAACCAGCTCCTCGAATGGCACAGCAGTGTCTAGATTCTCAAAACCACCGAATACCTTCGAGTAATCGAGCTTCGAATGCCGAACATCATCCGTCACTATTCTCCTCTCGTTGAGCTCCGGAAGTTCGAGAATCGGAATCGAAGAAGAAACTCCTGAACTACCGAAAATCTCGTTGTAATCTTCGAATTGAGAGAAGCTTGGAGCTCTTAGCTTGATAGGAGTAGCGAAAACACCGTCGTACGCGGATCTTCCGCTGACGCCAAGGCCGTTAGGTAGCTTCTTTGTTAGCGTCGCTGTGGTGGCTCCGAACTCCATGGCGACGGTGAGATTCTTCTTCTTAGGTGTTTTGTTTCGTTGTGTTTTGCTACTCTGAGAAGTGATTTTTGCAGAGTCAGAGACACGTTGAATAAGAGAAGCAGCACGAAACGTGATTCAGTGTAGAAAAAGTGTGAAAATGACTTTTCCGACTGAACGAGAGGGGGGGAAAAATAGAGCGGTCTTAACCGTCAGAAAAAACGCTTAACAAAAAAAGCGATTATGAGTTGAGTTGTGGTAGGCAGTTGGATACCGGGTGTTCTGGTTGTTAATTAGTAGCCGTTGGTGGGTCTGAAGAGGTGAGGTGACCGGGAGGAGAACTGGTGACCGGAGGAGTAGGTAATTTTGGAAAATATTTAAAAGCGAAAAAGATAAAGAAGGTTAATTTATTTAACGACGTTATTGAGGGGTAGTTTGGGTATGACACTGGGCATGAAGGGAGTGTTATTTTAAATCGTTGTTTGTTTGGTTTATTGTCTTGATGATGGGTACAGCTGTATAGTGCTTGGTTATTGGTCATCGTCAGTACATGCATACAAACACCGACTTGTTCATGCTTTTACTCCTATCTTTTGTTGGATGCATCTTAGTATCTTAGTACCGAGACCGTTTCTAATCATATAGTATTTATTCTTATGTAATCCTTTTTATTCATATAGTATATTTCTTCTAAAGCGACTTAGTATTTATTTCTTATGTAATCCTTTTTTTCAAACAAATTGAAATAGTTTTTTTTCAAATAAATATTTAAATAAAAAATGAATTAAATCTTTTTTTATCAGATATGATTTAAATCATTAGTTTAAATATGTTTTTTTCTCGAATATTTCAAACTTGACTTTTATTTTTTATTAAAAAAAAATTGAATAATAGTCATTTTAAAATTTTTCATCCATATTTTTTATCTCTGTCGTTCATTTATTTTAACGAAAATTGATATGACATACTACTGTATGTTACGTCACTTAAAGTTAACATCATATTTAATTATAAAAATAAAAAAACACGTTAGGTTGTGGAGTTTCAGATTTCTCTAACTTTCTTTAAATATAAATTAATTTTTACCGTAAACCTCGATATAACTAGTTTCTACACTCTAATTTCAAATATATATATATATATATATATATATATATATATATATATATATATATATATATATATATATATATATATATATATATATATATATATATATATATATATATATATATATATATATATATATATATATATATATATATATATATATATATATATATATATATATAAAAGCTAGAACATATTATTAAAAACATAGTAGTAATAGTTTCCATTTTCAAGTCTTATGATGCTTCCACCAACATCCTAACGGTTGGGAAAAACCGACAAAGAGAAAACAAAAGAACATAATCATAATACAACGACATAACATGAAAACTCTAAAATCAGAGGAAAAAATCATGGTCATTGTCAATAGACAACCAGAAAATAATATTATGTGAAAATTGTTACAACACATAATATACCCTCAACTAACTCAGACCCCCAATACACATACATCCCCCAAAACAAATATTTAACTATTTCTCACAATATTTTAATACAAGAGTGTAAGAGAACAAAGAAAGTCAATACTGTTGGAAATCAACAAAAACCCATGAAGAATTCCTATCAATCTTGATGAACAATATTGTTATCACTACACAATAACGATGAGAGAAAATGAAATTAAAAAAGAAAAGAGATTAGGGTTTCTACAGAGTTTCTCTCTGCCCATAAATTATGAAAAATCTTTGTTCACTTACAACTGCAAATTTTGTGAATACAAGTTATGAGTTATTTCAAAATAGGAGTTACTCTCTCTATTTATAATGAGTTTGCTTTCTTCCTAAGCTAAAAAGCCTAAAACTATAAAAGCTCAAAATATATATTTTAGACCTAAGTCGAAATCATGTTTGAAGCAACTTACTTCGACACTTCGACATACACAACTCGATAAACAATTCGACTCACACACACTTAGGCTATTTCGACACACCTTATGTCGAGCATATATGTACTCTACTTCGTAAGATGATAATGTCACTACTGGTTCCTTTTCTCGAATTTCAAACAACTAGTACACTACCTAGCATAAACACAAATCATGTTGTAAATTTTTGATCCTCAACATCACTGCACCAACTTGAATCAGTGTATCCTATTAACTTGCATCATTTTCTTTTATCAGTTGCAAAAAATGAAATGTCATAGTCAAGAGTTCCTTTCAGATACCTCAGTATCCTCTTTGTCACTGTTATGTGTGATACCTTTGGCTTTGTCGTGGTGAAAAATCGAGGAGATCAAGCTATTGAGAAACTTGACTCACAATGACTTAAGAAGCACCACCGAACTTTATTGTTTTCAATGAAAAGGGAAAAGATCGAAACTTTATTATTTAACATGCAATGCAAGAAGTAAAGACTAAAAGCAAAGAATAAGGAAGAGATCCAAGGTACGGCAGTTTGATATACAAAGGAAATATATTAGCATCCTATGTATCTATAGTACTTGAAACAACCGGCTGAAAATCATCAAAACAATGAAGGCGCCATCGAACGTCTTTTATTCCACATGTAGGGAAAGGTAAACATCGAGAAAACCTGAGAAGGGAGAAGTCACGGTCTTGCGACCGAGAGATCAGGTAAGGGAGTCTGTTACACGAGGGGAAGGTATTAGCACCCCACACGCCCGTAGTACTCTACGGTATCCACTCTTGCTATCTATCTTATGGGTGTGTTTAATCTATGCTTACTGTTTATTACTGCTAAAGGAGAATGCATGCAAAAGAAAGGAGAAAAAGAATGTAGGGAAAATAAAAATTTTCTCGCCTGGGCCCTACCCCAATGCCTACGTATCCTTTTTGAGGAATCAGAGCTACCGTAGTTCGGCTCATATGTTTTTGTTTGTTTGGTGTTTTTTATGGACGAAGTTAATTCCGCCTTCTGCCGCAGCTCGACCTTTGGAGACTTATGCGTTGGTACAGAAGTAAATTAATCATGTCCTTACCTGAAAAGGGTTTAAAAGAAAAGGTGCTCGAGCGCACAAAAGATTTGAGTTGGTTTATATTTTGTTGTAGATATTTTTTTGTGGACGAAGTTAATTCCGCCTTATGCCGCAGCTCGACCTTTGGAGACTTATGCGTTGGCACAGAAGTAAATTAATCATGTCCTCACCTGAAAAGGGTTTTTTTTTAATGAAAGGTGCTCGAGCGCACAAAATATTTGAATTTGTTTTGTATTTTTGTTGCAGATAATGACTAGTCGACCTCAAGAGAGAGATATTAGCCATTTTTCTACTTAGTCATGAAAGGAGTCTTTGAGAATTGAACCACACCTAAGCTTGAGATGAAGAATAATAAGATCGAGAAGAGACCCGCTTATCATTTCCCGTACTAAGCAAAAGCATGATTTGAATCAGTAGTTTTAAAGTGTTTTGAATTTTGAAAAGAAAAAGAGGTTTTTGTTTTAAATGCGTATGCGAAAGGAGAAAGAAAAGTTAAAGGGGAATTAGCCTATTTCTACACCTGATGTTATCGTGCGTGGTTAGACCTAAAGTTAGAATTTTGAGGGAATTCTACTTAATGTTAGCATGTTTGAATTGCGATAAAGTACCGAAATGAAGGATAAAATAGGGTTGTGACGATACCGAACGGAGAAGGTCCATTGCCTCTTAAAAATTGTGCAAGCGGTAAGAGAATTCTACAGAAGCGAACAGAGAAGATGTGTTTCCTCTTCGAAACCATGCGAGCAAAGAGAAACCTCTACAGAAAGCTTCCCTGAACTTCGTTGATGAAGATTTCACTCTTAAGTTGCTTCAAAAAAACTTCTTGAAATTCGTCAACCAAGTCTCTTTTATTTAACCATGTCCATATAATTATAATAAAATTATATAACAGATTCATGGCGAAGAAACAATATTAGAAGAAATAAAATAAAGAACCTCTAATTGAATTCTAAAACACTAATATTTTTATTCATGCATTTTTACCAACAACAACCATGGGGAGAAAAATTAGTATGGAATGAAATTGAAATTCTAAAACAAAGGGAGGGTGTAATCTAGAAACGAAGTGTTCGGAAAAGATAAGCATACTTGGCCAAGCTATAATAAACTCCATTAAACATTTTTGTGTCAAGCTTGAAGAATAAAAAAAAACTTTGCTGTGGGGCTTAGTGTTTCGGTCCAATCCAATAGCCCCATCACCAGATTTTCAACATTTTTATTTATTTCAACAAATTATTACCAGCATTATTATTAATAAAAAATAAAAAATAAAAAATAATAAAACAATTAAACTAAATGGAAAAAAAACATATGAAATTGGAAAGGGAATTTAGGGTTAGAATGTAATGCCTCGCCCTTCTTCTTCTCTTGCAAGCGGCGGCGCGGCTACCTCTTCACCTTCGCTGATTTCCGTCTCTCACGGCGGTGCAACTCCCTCCATATATCTTTGTCTCAACTACTGATGACCGGACCTTAACTCTCGCCAAAATTTCGTCCTCTCTCTTTCTTCGATCGAATTTCGCCGATTCGAACCTCTCCGGTGGTTCTCATCTCGATGGCGCTTCTGTCTTCGTTCTTCTCTTCAAGCCGTCTTCTCTGTGGTCCTCATTTCCGATTCTAAACTCCATCCTCAATCAGCGGCGAAGACGAGAGATCTCGAACAAGTAAGATTTTTTGTTCTTTGCTTCTTCTTCTATTTCGCATCATCTCAGATTTCACTTCAACATCACCTCACCGTCGCGGATCGTTCTCACCGGCGAAGTCCGATGCCTCCTCAATCTCAACCATGACGACAAGAAATAAATAGATTCCATGAGGTTTCAAGCATGCGTATCTTGTAATTCCTTGAAATTTTCTTCTCCTTCTGAAAACTTTGTGCGTTAATGTTGTTGCTTATTGCATTTCAGAGATGATGGAATCGCGAATAAGTGTTGTTGCAGAGGATGTGAAGATGAGATTCAGAATTCCTGAAG